AACAACAACAACAATACAATTATTGTGCCTTTAGACTGTTTCAGCCTTTTGCTAAATAGTGCTGCTCTGAACATCTTTGTATAAGTTCCCTTTCCTTTTAGATTCTCTCTTGGGAGTATATTCCCAAGAGGCAAGATTACCACATGGAAAGAACAGCTTTGTAGTTCCTGCTACTGATTTTTCAGGAATTGTTACATTTTCTGGGAAGGCTGATTGGCTTACAGTCACCCAGACCTTTTTCACCATAGTCCATGTAGGATGTCTTCTACTTCATTGAGGGAAACCCATGAATGTGGAGGAAGGGGGAGACCTCATCCAAGCCTGAGACCATGATGACAGCTTCGGGCTGAGGGGTCCATGTCCTTCTCTGGTTGTCAGCCTTGGAGCATAGGACAGAGTCCAGAATGTTAGCAGGATGGCACCCACAAGATCCTCACATGTGGTACTGTTCATTTTAGTCTAAGGAGCCTAGTTTTTAAACACTTTTTTTCTGGAGGCAAGAACTGGGAACAACAAAAAAGCAAGGCTCCAGGAACTAACAGAATACCCATTGAGATGTTTCAACAAATGGGTGCAGTGCTGGCAGCCCTCACTTATCTATGCCAAGAAATTTGGAAAACAGCTACTTGGCCAACTGACTGAAAGATATCCATATGTGTGTTCATTCCAGAGAAAGGTGACCCAACAGAATGCAGACATTATTGAACAGTATCATTAATATCACATGCAAATAAAATTTTGCTGAAGATAATTCAAAAATGGTTGTAGCAGGAAACTGTCAGAAATTTAAGCTGGATTTAAAAGAGGGCATGGAATGAGGGATATCATTGCTGATGTCAGATGGATCTTGGCTGAAAGCAAAGAATACCAGAAAGATGTTTACTTGTGTTTTATTGACTATGCAAAGGCATTCAACTGTGTGGATCATAACAAGTTATGGACAACATTGCAAAGAATGGAAATTCCAGCACACTTAATTGTGCTCATGAGGAATCTGTACCTAGACCAAGAGGCAGTCATTCATGCAGAACAAGGGGGATACTGCATGGTCTAAAAGCAGGAAAGGGATGTGTCAGAGTTGTATCCTTTCAGTATACTTATTCAGTCTGTATGCTGAGCAAATCATCTGAGAAGCTAGAGGATACAAAGAGGAGGGCTGGGAGCATGGGAGGAAGACTCATTAGCAACCTGTGATATGCAAATGGTACAACCTTGCTTGCTGAAAGTGAAGAGGGCTTGAAGCACTTACTGATGAAGATCAAAGACTACAGTCTTCAGTATGGATTACATCTCAACATCAAGAAAACCAAAATCCTTATAACTGAACCAATAAGCAACATCATGATAAATGGAGAAAAGATTGAATTTGTCAAAGATTTCATTTACTTGGATGCACAATCAACGCCCAAGGAAGCAACAGTCAAGAAATCAGATACTGTATTGCACTGGGCAAATCTACTGCAAAAGATTTCTTTAAAGTGTTTTAGAGTGAAGATGCCACTTTGAAGTCTAAGGTGCGCCTGACCCAAGCCAGGGAAATTTCAGTAGTCTCACATGCTTGTGAGAACTGCACAGTGAGTAAGGAAGGGAGACCATAGAAGAATTGATGCACTTGGATTGTGGTGTTGGCAAAGAATATTGTGTATACCATGGGCTATCAGAAGGACAAACAAATCTGTCTTGGAAAAAGTTCAACCTGAATGTTTCTTTAAAGCAAGGGTGACAAGGCCAGCTCATGAATTTTGGACATGTTATCAGGAGGGACCAGTCTCAGGAGAAGGATACGTTGGGTAGAACAGACAGTCAGCAAAAGAGGGGAAGGCCCTCAATGAGATGGATTGACACAGTGGCTGTACCAATGGGCTCAAGCATAACAATGATGTGAGGATGGTGTAGGACTAAGGCAGTGTTTCATTTTGTTGTACATGGGATCGCTATCCTGACTCGAGAGCACTTACTTATTAATAACAATATGTGGGGGCAGTGTCCCTGGGTGGTGCAAATCATTAACCTCAAAAGGTTGGGAGATTGAGACCAACCAGAGGTAAGAGAGGCCTGGCGATCTATTTCTTGAAAACCAGCCATTGAAAACCCTATGAGCACATTTCTATTCTGACACACATGGCATCGCCGTGAGCTGGAGTCAACCCCACGGCCACTGGCTTTGGTATCTGGAGGTTTTACAAACAAGGTAGACCTGGAAAGGCCAAGGTTTACTATGTCATCCTTGGGTAAGGTCACAGACAAGTGAGGGAACTGAGTTATTTCGTAACAAGCAAAATCTCAGATTAGCAACAGGGTTTGCCGTGTGCTCTTCGGAGGGTGACCGTGCATGGTTGAGCAGGTTCGGGCTGCAGCCGTGCCCTTGGCTGACTCTGTTATCCAGGGTCATCTCAGCCTGGAGAAGCACTGCCTCAGTCTCAATTAAGTCCTTTTTGCCTCCTGGCCCAGGCTGGTATGCAGCTCAGGGCTGAACCTGCCTTCTCACTCCACCCAAGAGGTGGCTGGGCTTCTGTGGTGGCTGAGACACTTCTGTGCAGCTTCTAGTCAGGAAGGGCTTGGAGGAGCTGCACAGGCAATGTTTGGTCCAGGAGAGGTAGGGGGAAAAACTCAGACCTTGGGGACAGAGGGTTTGAGTTACAGCTCTGCCACTTTGGACCAAATAACCTTGGGGAGACCATTCATCTTTCCTTAGTTTCTTCATCTGTGACATGGGTCATCAAGAGGTTCCAAGCATAGAATGTAGAACACGAGTGTCCACTAACTCTAAAGCCCCACATGAATGTTGATTGTTTCCTAGTGAACTGCTCTCTTCCAGACACCTCTGATCCTTTATGTGGCCCAGCCTTTCTGATGGGATCCTAGTCTTGTATCCATAATGATAGCTACACTCATAATACCATCTTGAATGCCTGCTCCACACACATTGTGCTAGCTCTTTCACTTAATCTCTCTGAATCTCAGTTTCTTTGTCTGTAAAATGGCAATATTAATATCTCTCTCCTGACTGAGATGAAATAAATCGAGTAGCAAGTGTTCAGCACCGTCCCTAGCACATTTGGTAAGCATTCAACAAGTGTTCTAACCCACAATCATTCTGTTTCCTGTTGAATTCTTACTGCTCTGTGAAAGAAATAGTATCATTATCCCTATTTGAAAGATAAGCAAGTTGGGGCTCGGAGAGGTTAGTCATATGTTTTAGGCCACATAGCTAATGATTTGCAGAGTTTGGATTCAGTCTGAAGTCAGTATTCTACCCACTAGAGACCTCTCTCAGAAGGAGGATGGGGCAATCTACTTCCGTAGTGATACTGCCTTGGAAACCCAAGGAGGGGTCGCTATGAGTCGGGTCCGACTCGACAGCACATAACAACAACAACAGAGACCTTGGGAGGAAGGTTGGGCAATCTACTTCTGTGGTGATTCTGCCTTGAAAACCCAAGGAGTGGTTGCTGTGAGTCAGGTCCGACTTGACAGCACATAACAACAACAACAACAACAGCAACAACAACAACATAGACCTCTCTGATGGCACCGTGGTCAGGCATTCAACTGCTAACCAAAAGGATGGTGGGAGAAAGATAGACGGTCTGCTTCCATAAAGATTTACAACCTTGGAAACCCTATGAGGGTCACTGTGAGTCGGAATCAACTCAGTGGCTGTGGGTGTAGACCTCTCAGTAGGATCTGCTATGCCGTATAGCTGCATGAAAGGTCCAAGTACTTTTGGTACCCAGGGCAGATTCAGTTCAAGTCAGCAACCATTCAGTGTTTGTTATTTACCAGGAACCCTGGTGGCGCAGTGCCTAGGGTAATTGACTGCTGACCAGAAGGTTGGTGGTTCAGACCCACCAGCCACTCTGGAAGGAGGACTGGCAATCTACTTCTGTAAATATTTACCACCTCAGAAACCCAATGGGGGTTGCTAGTCGGAATCGACTCGATGGCAGTGGGTTTGGTTTTGGATTTTTTCCTGTAGCTGCTGTGGGTGAAAGCAAGGACCGTATCCCAGACATTCACAGGATTAATTCACAGTATTAACCACTGGCCCTATTTTTCCCAGGTACAGCCTCCTTGGTTTTCCTCTTTGCCCAGCTGTGTTCTTAGGTACTACTTGGTTTCTAACATCTGCCCCAGCCATGCCCTTCACCTGCCCTCCATGGGAGGGGCCTCAGAGCCAGTGTATTGCTCAGCTCTTCCAAGTCATGATTGCTCCAGGCCTTTGTAGGCTGATGCCACCTTCCTTCATCATCTGTCATGTCAGCGGTGACACATATCTCAGGTGCACATTGCTGTATTGGTTTAACCCATCATGCAATGGTGCTGGGCATGTTATTCAATATCAGAGTAGAGCCTCCCCTATCCTGTGCTGAAAGTCCCCTGAGGGCGGGGGCCAAACCTTCTACTGCATTTGTGATCCCTCCTCTTCCGCTAGAGAAAACAATAGGTAAGCCTAGCACTCATTTAGAGAAGGACTTCCGGAAGTGGTGTGGCCTCCTGAAGGGGCCCACTCACTGCCGCTGAGTCAATTCTGACTCATAGTGACCCCCATTGGGTTTCCAAGGCTGTAAATCTTTACAGAAGTAGATTGCCCCATCTTCCTCCCATGGAGAAGCTGGTGGGTTTGAACCACCAGCCTTTTGGTTAGCAGCCAAAATGCCTTACTCACTACACCACCAGAGCTCTTTCCTTGAAGGTGCAGAGATGTCAATTAGGAGAGCAGTCAAGGTTCCAAATGGGTGGGTGAAGCCAGGGCCTCCCAAGAGTACTGAAGGAAGGCTAAGTAGAGTGTCTATTTGAAGGACACCTTTTGCTTTCCAAATCACTCCTGTATTTTTTCATAAACATGATCCCCTACTAAACTGTCCCTACTCTTGTGGTGCACCAACATAAGGGTCTGACTTATCTTTGATAATAGTGGAATTGAATACAGAGGTTATGTGGCTGTGAGGGGCCAGTGGGCATAGCATAACCAAACTCTATTTTCCTTTGCCCTTCAGACCAAGCCAGTGGTGGAAGCATTGACTGGGCCTATGACTATGGCATCAAATACTCATTTGCCTTTGAACTGAGAGACACAGGTCGCTATGGCTTCCTGCTGCCAGCCAACCAGATCTTGCCCACAGCAGAAGAGACCTGGTGTGGCCTAAACACAATCATGGAGCATGTGCGAGACAGTATCTCTACGGATACTCCAGGGAGTAAACACCATTAAATCTCTTTGGTTTGAAGAAGAGTTGCATTGTGATTGTTTCTATTTCTAATCCTGATCTGGGAGCATCATTTCTTCTGTTAATGCTGTCCTGAAACACAGCAACCACTGTCTTCTACCCCTTCATCGTAACAGTGTAGCCTTTGGAGCTAGAAGTCCCTGGGTATTGTAAATGGTTAGGTACTTGACTACTAATGGAAGGGTTGGCAGTTCAAATCCATCCAGAGGCACCTTGGAAGAAAGCTCTAGAAATCTGCTTCTGAAGGGTCATAGCATTGGAAACCCTTTGGAGCACAGTTCTACTCCAACACCTGGGGTCGCCATGAGTTACAAACTAATCACAACTCAGTGGGCTATTGGTTTGATTTTGGTTTAGAGCTAGAAAGGGACTTGACAAAAAAAAAAAAACCCAAATTCACTGCCGTTGAGTCAGGTCCTACTAATAGCGACCCCTCCTTGGGTTTCCAAGACAGTATCTCTACAGAAGTAGGTTGCCTGATCTTCTCCTTCCGAGGAGTCACTGGTGGGTTTGAACTGCCAGCCTTCTGGTTAGTAGTCAACTGCCTTAGGCATTTCATTTGCTAATTAAGCAGCTGCCCTGGGCCAGGCATTGTTCCAGGGGCTGGTTTCTCTAGTCCCAATTGCTACCTTTTGCTTTTCCATTTCTTGCATTGTAAAAACTAGTAGGGACCAAACAAATGACACCCCTTGCCTGGTGGGCCCATGAAGTCAGTATCTTAAACCCCACACAGTTTCTCTGTAGACATTCACTTCCATTCAGGGTTTAGATTTTTTTTTTCATGTTGATGGTTTTTCGTGGGTACAGTATTTGATTCTTTATCTTCATATCTCTTGCCGATCTGGGTCTTAGTTTATCTTGTTACTGGCTTCAAAGCTGACATCTCTCTCAGTGAAGTAGAGCCCAGCCTTTGTGGGGACAGGGTGGGTGTAGGGGACAGTTTCAGTGTTGGAAAGACAAGAGCCCTGAGGGAGGAAGAGGAGACAGAAAGCCCAGCTCCACAACTCCCAACCATGACCCTTGGTGGTGTCCACACCTCTTGGGTAAGAATGTAGACTGTGGGGATGGTGAGATGGGGAGGTTGTGAAACAGGGGCTCCTAGGACAGACTCAAAGGCCCCAGAGCTCTTGAAAAACTTCTGGAGATCACGAGTGTTTTCTATGGATTCTGTTGGACTTGGTAGACCACCAGAACGGTCTTAGAGTCTAGCCACATGAAAAAGTTTTATTATTAATAATATCATTAAGCCTTACCTAGTAGCTGAGACCTCAAGGAAAACTGGTAATTGATTCAGAATAACACATTCTTCCTATACCAATTACCACATCTATTTCTGCTTTCTTAAAAACAAAACTCCCTGCCGTCGAGTTGATTTCGACTCATAGCGACCCCTCCATTTCTGAGGTGGTATCTCTGTGTAAGTAGATTGCCCCATCTTCCTTCGAAGGAGTGGCTGGTCGGTTTGAACCGCCAGCCTCTGGTTAGCAGTCAAGTGCCTTAGGCATTGTGCCACCAGAGCTCTCTCTGCTTTCTTGGTGGAGGCATAAGAATCAGGTGCCAGATTCTTAACAGAGGTCACAGCTTCTCTCATTATGACCGAAAACCAGAAAACCAAACCCGCAACCCTTGAGTTGATTCTGAGTCATGGCAACCCTGTGTGTTCCTGAGTAGAACTGAACTCCGTAGGGTTTTCTTGGCTGTGGTCGTTGTGGAAGCAGATTTCCAGGCCTTTCTCCCATGAAGCTGCTGAATGGGCCTGAACCGCCAACCTTTCAGTTAGCAAGTGAGCACAAACTGTGTCACCCAGGGACCTCATTGTGACCTGTTCTGGAACTCTGAAAGAGCTTGTCCCGGGTGTGCTCTTGGAAACTGGCTTGAGTTGCTTTGTTACTCTTCTCTTTTTATTACCCTAGGGGTAACTCCAACTCAATCTGACCTCTCCTAAGGATACAAACTCTATCCGGCACTGTGGGACTTTCCTATTTACTCCAAAAACACCATTTAAATGCCAAGGGATGAGCAACATGGCACCCTTGGCACAGACTTGCAGCCTGTGGAGCAGGTTCCTGCTTTGTAAATGGAGTGACTTGTCCTATATCATGAGAAAGGAATGAAAGAGGCATTGGCAGGGGCCAGCCTGCCTACAGTCAGAGTTGCAAGGGTGCTTGGGAGTCACAGTAGCATTTTTGAAGACGTGAGTCTGCTTCAGACTCCTTATAAATACAGCTCGACTCAGCCACTGTGAGACTGACACTCTTGGGACATGAGGTGGATACTGTTCTTTGGGGCCCTCATTGGGCCCAGCATCTGCGGCCAAGAAAAGTTTTTTGGGTAAGTTCCTTTTGGACTTATTATTATTTGATTAGTTCAGTTGGGGGCCAACTGAAAATGAGGCTGGTTATCCCTCAAACAGTATGGTGTTGGGGAAAGAAGACCGTGGCCCTTGCCCCAGCTCACCCACTGTGTCCTTTCAGACAAGTTATTTCTCTTCTCTGAGAAGCAATTTCCGCATCTGTGAATCAGGACAAGATGGTCTCCTCCCAGTTCCCTTATCTCCTGCCAATCCATCTTCTTTTTTTCAGTTCTTATTTGTAAAGTCAGGTGTAGGCATCTTCTACTTTTCATTCCTTCATTATGACTTACCTAGAGTCACCAGAAGCTGTTTCTAATTCCTGCCTTGCAGAAAGGAGAATCTGGGTCTCAAGCTCTTGGTTTCGCCTCTGTTAATGGTGAAGGCTTTAATGGGTGCTTTCTGGGACCTGGCATTTGATAGGCCTTGCCTCAGCACAGCTATGAAAATTGACATTCAAAGACGTACATTGCACTGTGTGCATGGGTGGGTGTATGTGCGCACTTGCTCAAAACACTCCACACGCAGTGCTCTGAGGTGTGCAAGGGAGAGGACTTTTGGGAGGTGGGAGAAATGAAACGATGCTAGAAGATTGAATTATAATAACTAATTACCGCATAATGCTTTGCCATTTGCAAAAAGCTTTCATGTACATTATCTTTTGGATTACACAACAGCCCTACCAGGCAGGGGTGTTATTTTCCTCAATTTAAACATGAAAAAACTCAGCCTCAGAAAGGTTAAGGTACCCGCCCAAGCCCACTTAGCTGGTGAGCAGGGGAGCTGGAACTCTGAATGTAAAGCCCTGTATTAGAAGTTAATCTCCATATAGACTCTCGAATCTCACATAGTTAGCCATGGCTGTTAGCTTACTCTCTACTATCTCTCTCTGACTAAAGGGACTTTGGGGTTGTTTATCTCTGTAATGATTTATATGGAATTGAGTATTTTTTTATGGTGATGACTTCTGTACACACCTGTGCCTCGACTGCCAGATAGAGGCAGTAGCCTTGGAGGTTACAGCAGGTGGCCTGGGAAGGAGAATTTTCCCCCGGGAGCCCGGCAGAAGATGTGTTACAGCTATACTCACTGCCGTGTGGGCTGACGCACAGAGCTGTCAGGCGCCCACTTCAACCCTTCCTGAGGCTCAAAATCTCTGTTCCTCCGGATGCTGACCACTCTCATCAAGTGTAGACACCTGGCACTGAGACAGCTGGGCTGGGCCTGGAGTGCTCGCTAACCACGGCTCTGCATGGAAGGAGCTGGGGCCAGGTGCTTTTAACCACGAATGTCATCCTCAGCCACTCATCTGTTTTCTCCCCACAGAAGGGAGACCACAAAGGCGTGGCATCGTTGCTGGGGCCCACAGACATGTCCCAGATAGTTGCTCAATGGACATTAGAGCAAGGGGAAGCTGGCCGGTCCCTTGGGAGGTTGCTGGGGAAGCCAGGATCTAGATTGGCTTTGAGGGGTGGGATGGTGATGGAGAGGAGGTTGGGGGAATCTCCCTTCCGCTCAATTTGCCTGCCTGCTGAGTCTCTCTTGCTCTGCTGGTCTTCTGCCCTGGATGGATGGTTGCCGGGTGCCTAAGGTGTAGGGCAGGCAGAGGGCAGAAAGCTGCAGAACTGGTTGGAGCCTCCGCAGTGGCTGGCAGATTGTTTCAGAGTTGTGTGAGACCACCCCTCAGCACGGGGGAGGCTGCTAACCTGGCTGGGTGTGCAGGTGGGAAAGGCCCAAAGAATAGGCCCCTTGGCTGCCTGCTTGGGTAAAAGGAATGTGATAGAAGCCTAGTCACCAGGAGATTATTGACTGTCTAGAGCATGGGGCAAGTGGGAGGGTGAATGAGAGGGTCTCACCAACCATTGAATTGGCTGCAACTAGAAAGCACTGGGTATGGAAGAGGGAGAGACCTGGGCAGGCATTTTTCAAACAAGGCCAAGGCCAGTGAGGGCAAGACAAAGGCTGCCCTACACATGACCAAAAAACAAAACTCACTGCCGTCGAGTTGATTCCGACTCATAGCGACCCCCTTTGGGATTCTGAGGCTGTAAATCTTTATGGAAGTGGATTGCCCAGTCTTCCTTCCACAGAGCAGCTGGTGGGTTTGAACCACCAACCTTCTGGTTAGCAGTCAAGTGCTTTAGGCACTATGCCACCAGAGCTCCTTGCCCTACACATGGCGCCCCACTTATTTTCTCTCTGCTTTCAGGTACTGACATGCTTATGTTCATAAGAATAATGGTAAATCTTACCCCCCACCCTGACCCCCCCAAGTCAGTAGACCGTCGGAAGACAGTATCTAAGTCTGCCTCATGGCACAGAAAGCTTCATGGATGACGGGAATTAGGTTGTAAAGATTGGATGGGAGATTGCCAGGCAGATAAGGAAAAGGACGGGCACACATGACTCTGACTCATGGTGACCTCATGATACAGAGTGGAAATGTTCCGAGGGGTTTTCTAGGCTGTAAACTTTTCAGAAACGTATCGCCAGGCCTTCTCTTCCACAGTGCTGCTTGCTGGGCTCGAACTGCCAACCTTTCGCTCACCAGCTGAGCACAAGCCATTGGCACTGCTCAGGGGTTGTCAGAGGCTGAGGAGGGCAAACACACATGGCAAATTGGGGGTCTCAGGAGGCTGGAGCCAAGAGGGTGGAGGAGAGAGGCGGACGGGGGCAGTGGCACCAGCCCTACGGTCTGCCCCTCTGTGCGCTACAGATGTTTCTCTAGCCTCCGTACTTGCCTGCTTAGAGCGTGATGAAATGGCTTGTGGATTTAATCACTGTCTGGGCCATCTGGATTCCCAGATTCACTGTATTCCCTGGTTGCGGACCATGCCCCACAGTATGCAAGTTCTGTACAAACTCTTCACCTGAGGAAACATAGAATGTGTGGTCTGGGTGGGCTTGTAGCAGGGTTTCCATACTCCGGAGAGCATGCTGCCTTGGGCTTTTCCTCTCCCTGTTTGTCCTCCCGCCCTGCCTTCTCTGTTATTGTTCTGGTCGGTGCTGTGTTTTACAAATGCCCATTCTGCACGCATGGGGTCACCGGGTTAGAAATCAACCCGATGACAACTAACAGCAACAACAAAAATTTTGCCAGTGGAGGTGCCAAGACAAAGCATCTTTCTAGAATGCCCCTTTAAAAGAAAAAAAAAAAGTATGGTGGTAAAATATACCAAAGAAACCCCCCAAACTCACTGCCATCGAGTTGATTCCAACTCATAGCCACCTGCTTTGGGTTTCTAAGGTGGCAAATCTTTAGGGAAGTAGATTGCCCAGTCTTCCTTCTGCAGAGTGGCTGTTGAGTTTGAACCGCCGGTTAGCAGTCGAGTGTCTTAGGCACTTGTGGTAAAATATACATAACAAAATTGATCATTTTAACCATTTTTGCGTGTACACTTCAGTACTGTCAAGGACATTGTTGTGTAATCTTCTCCAGATCTTTATCGTCCCTCCAAACAGAAACTCGATGTCCATTAAACAATAACTCCCATTACCCCTCCTCCAATCCTCTGGCAACCTCTATGGTATCGGTCTCTGTGAACTTGCCTGTGGTAGATTTCTCATATAAGTAAGATCATACAATATTTGCCCTTTCGTGTCTGGCTTATTTCACTTAGTGTAATGTTTTCAAGGTCCATGTCCTAGCATATACCAGAACATTAGACCTTTTTATGGCTGCATAGTATTCCATTGTATATACCTCACCACCCATCAATCAGTTTGTCCTATTACGGCTTGGATGTTGTTATGATGGTGGAAGCTATGGCTTCAGTGTTTCAAACATGAGCAGGGTCACCTGTGGTGAACAGGTTTCAGCAGAGTTTTCAGACTAAGACAGACTACGACAAAAGGACTGGTGTTCTGCTTCTGAAAATTAGTCAGTGAAAACCCCGTGGATCCCAACAGAACACTGCCTGATAGAATGCCGGACGATGAGCCCTGTAGGTTGGAAAGTACTCAGAATGCACAGTGACCACAACAATGGACTTGAACATATCAACACTCGTGAAGGTGGCACTGGACCGGACAACATTTTATTCTGTTGTACAGGGGATCACCATGAGTTAGAGTTGACTCGATGACAACAGTAATGTGTACAGCACATTGGTTGTTGTTGTTGTTAGGTGCCGTCGAGTTGTCCCTGACTCATAGCGACCCTATACACAGCAGAACGAAACACCACCCGGTCCCGTGCCAGCTCCATCATTCTTTCTATACTTGAGCCCATTGCCACTACCACCGTGTCAATCCATCTCATTGAGGGTCTTCCCCTTTTTTGTCGACCCTCTACCTTACCAAGCATGACCTTCTTCTCCAGGGAATGGTCCCTTCTGACAACACATTTATATAGAACATTTAGTTTATCCATTCCTCCACTGATGGGTATTTCTGCCTCTTGGCTATTGTGAATAATGCTGCAGTGAACATTGGTGTGATGTATCCATTGGAGTAAAGAACATTCATCTTTAATCCACTCCCTTTTCTGAATTGTTGGGGGTAGGTTGTGATGGAGCATGAGTTTGGACGACTGGCCCTGGTGTCCAGTCAGAAATAAGTGATTCTCTGTTTTCAATCCCTCCTTTTTTGAAAGCCTGCTTGCTCACGTCAGGCAATGGTGGTCTGGTCCTTCATCTTCCCAGGGCTGTGGTCAAGCTCTGGGCAAGCCTGTTGGGTTGACCTGTCCAGCCCGTGGTTTCTCCAAGACCCTTTGGCTGCTCTCAGGGGATGCAGCAGGGCTGCTCTCATGGAGGACCCCGTGGAGACAAAGAGTTGTTCAAGGGAGCCTCCGGCCCTGGCATCTCCTCCAGACCTGCCATCTGTAATGGCCTCAGCTCTGTAGAGGACCCAGCCTGCTTCCTTGGGGCTGGCCTGGACCCCCTCAGAACCCCTAAATCCTTCCGGAAAAAGTTAGGCCCAGAGGGTCCACCCGGATGGAGTGGGTTTTCTAATAGGGAGAGGCGGATTTGCCACGTGAGGCTGCATGGTTGGATCCTGGTGACAGACCAATTTTCTCTGTCAACAGGTCCTTCAGCTCACAGCCCTCTGCAGCCGCTCTTCCCGCATTCGCTTGTGTCAAAGGGATGACGCATGTGACAGCGTCGAGTGCGGATTCATTTGGGCTGTCACCTAGCAACGGCCTAATGGATCCCTCGGCTCCCTGAGACAGCGTGGGGTACAAAGGCAGCTTGTCAAGCTCGGCCTTCTCCCACCCACACACGGGGCTTCAGGGGCCTCTTCCTGTGCCCCTGAATGAAGTACATGAAACAAGTGCAGGACAAACAGCAAAGAGGGCTCTGGAAGGGGCCTCTCAAGGTTCTGTGGGGGAGGATCTGCCTTCCAGTTCAGCATCGGTCCACTGGACCATGTTCAAGGTCCACCTAATGTGCATTGGTATAGGATTCTGGAGCTGGAAGGGACTGAGGGGCCCCCTTCAACATCTCTCCTCTTTCCTAACAGGCGAGGAGCTAATCCTCCACGGATCTGTTCTCTCTCTCAGCCCCTCCCAGCCTGGAGGTTCTGCCAAAATTTCAGCCCTGGCCCCTGACATTGAAGAAGTGCTTCTTTATGTCTTGAGTTAGCTTTGCGTGTAACTCAGGAACATTCCTTTCTGGAAAATCTGTATGTTTTTCATTATAAAGTAATATGACCACATTACAGAAAACAGATACAAGGGGGGGACCAAAAAAAAGTAAGTCATCCATAATCCTGCGACCTGAGTGTGAGCACCGTCAGCATTTCGCGTATTTCCGTTGTCTGTTTTCCTTCCAGCGCATCTGCCTTTTCCATACTTGTAATCATGGCATACATACAATTTTGTGTCCTGCTCTTTTACTTAATATTTCCCTTAAAGTTATACCATAAGCACTTTTTCATGTTTGCCACGTAGTCTTATTTTTAATGGCTGTACATTATAACCAAAGACTAGACCATTTCCTCTTCAGCCCAGTTATGGTGAGGGTAGTAGGTTTGGGTTTATTTGCCAGCTGAAAGCTCCCCATTATCTTTTGCTTTTTTTTTTTTTTTTCTCTCCCCTCCAGGGACCAAGTTTTTCGGATTAACATCAGAAATAGAGATGAAATCAGCAAATTGACTCAGCTAGTGAATTCGGGCAACTTCATGGTACCTTCTTAGTTCTCTTGGGCATCTTCTAACTTTGTTGGGAAAAGACTTTGGTGCCACTGGCATTACGATTATGATTATCCCCAAAGATTTTCTGTGTAGACTCTTGGATTGGTCCACATGCCATTTACATGTTGAGACAGTGATGGGGGAGAAGTGTTATTGATCCTGGAGATGGGAGGTGTGAGGCATGGGTTCCATCCTGCTGTCTGCCACGAGCTTGTTGGTTCTTGGGCTCAACTGGGCAGGACTGACCAGATGCTATGTGAAATGGGCAGAGTTTGCTCTTGGACAGCCAGGCCCTCAGGGATTATTACCCTGGTATTTGGCAGTGGTTCTAGAAGAATGAGTTCACTGTGCCTTTTATGTGAACTGTCCTTTCACCTGGTTTCATGTCTGTTCTTTTCAGCTCAACTTCTGGAAACCCTTTTCCACCTTTGGTCGTCCTGTGGATGTCCTGGTCCCATCTGTCAGTCTGCAGCCAGTCAAATCTTTCCTCAAGTCCCAGGGCTTAGAGTACTCAGTGACGATTGAAGACCTGCAGGTGCGTAGGCCAAGGCCCCTCCCTGGTCTTGCAGCCAACCCAGAGCAGACTTGAGAATCTTCACGTTCTGGTCCAACCCTTGTTCGTTTTTCTTTTTTTGTTTTGTTTTGTTTTGTTTTAGGAGCTCTCTGTTATTTATCTTTATTGGTAAGATTATTACACAACTAAATACATTTGGATACACTTGCATGAAAATGCATCAAACTTTACACTTACAATATGTGTAATTTATCTGTGTGGATTCACCTCAATCAGTATGATCATGAGAAAAACAGAAAACAAACCTCATAAAATGTTTATCTTATGTAAGAAATAATCAGGGAACTCTTGGGGCACAGTGGTTAAAGTGCTTTTCTTTTCTTCTTCTTCTTCTTTTTTTTTTTTTTTATTGTGATTTGGGTGAAAATCTACAGAGCAGATTCACTTTCCACACAGAAGTTCACATACACTTTGTCTCATGACAATGACTACAATTTACCACAGTGCAA